TCCTGTTAAGAAACCCTTCCAAAAGTGGAATTCTTTTCTTTGAAGCCAGGAAGATTTTTCTTTTCTTCCTCAAGAATCTATGTTTGTACCAGATTATCCAAAATCTTTTTTTTTTTTTTGAGATGGCATCTTGCTGTGTAGCCCAAGCTGGTCTCAAAATGATCCTCCCACTTTTGCCTCCCAAACAGCAGGAACAACATGTGCCTGCCACCATATCCACCTCCAAATAAGAACTGAGATTGACATCCTTACTGTATACTGAGCATTGTACTTTCAATTTATTTAATTGAATTTTGCAATAATCCTGACAAGTCTGTCTCACAGATGAGAAAACTGATGCTTAAAATACTGTGCTTTGCCTAAAGTCACAGTTTGTGCAACCTAGTGTCTGCCCTTCTATCCATCTCCCTGGATCACTCTGTGCAATGTCAGGCATCATCTACCAAAGGTTACACCAAGCACTAGAAAACAGAATCTCCATGCAGATGAAAACAATGCTGAGATTCCACCTCACCCCAGAAAGAATGGCTGCTATCATAAAATCAGCCAAATAACAAATGGGGCTGTGGGGAAAGAGGAACCCTGCTCCACTGCTGGTGGGAATGTCGACTGGTGCAACCACTGTGGAAATCAGTATGGGGATACCTCAAAGAACTAGGACTTGAAGTTCCATTTGACCCAGCTATTCCCCTGATGGTTATCTTCCCCAAAGAATTAAAAGAATCATACCACAGTGATATATGTGCACCCATGTTCATAGCAGCACAATTTTTAATAGCTAAAACTTGGAAAAAGCCCAATTGCCCATCAACTGGAGACTGGATAAAGAAAATGTGGTTTTTTAATAAAATGGAGTACTACTCAGTCATAAAAAATGAGAAATTAGAGACATTTATAGCTAAATGGATCCACATTGAGGCAATATTCTTAAGTGAAATAAATAGGACACACATGTGTAAATACTGAATAGTTTCTCTAGTGTGAGAAACTGAAAGTGTAAATAAGGACTGAAAGGTATAATAGATAATATGAAATAGGAAGAAAAAGGGCAAAGGGGAAGGGGAAGTGGGAGGAGTAGGGGAAAGTAAAGAAGGGAATGGAATATAAGAAAATGAAAAAATGGAAACAGTCTTTGTAAATAGGGAGGGATGGAGGGTTTGAAGGGAGGGCAAGGGAATGGGGAAAAAGTAAGAACCAAGAGAGATTATATAAAGGTACAAATTTCCAATGATGAATGTCATCATATTGTATACCTAAAATGTACCAATAAAATTAACAAAAAAAAGAAAACAGAATCTCCAAAAATTCTTTAAATTGGTGGGAAAATAAAATTTTGACTCATACAACTTCAGGGAATCCAAAAAGTGATGTGACTAGCCTTTGTAATGTGACTCTTATCCAAAGGAGTCAGAGCAGGTCTCACCCAAACTCAAGTATGTTTCTCCCCATATGGATTCAGACTGATAACTTTTTTTAAAAAAGACTAATGAAGACCATTTATCACTGAAGAATGGAAATTATTTTGCAGGTGGAATCATTTTGATCATGGGCTTTATTAGCAAAAATTGCTCATAGATTCTCATTTTTAATTCAAAACTCTAGGGGCTGGGAATATAGTTCAGTTATAGTGCTCAGCTGCAGAGCTTGCCTAGTGTGGGCAAGGCCCTGGGTTTGATTCCCCAGTCCTGTGATAAAAAAAAAAAATCAAGTACTGTACCTGTTTTATTACTTTCTACATGAAACAATTTAGATTCAATTCTTTTAAATGCACTTTCTCAAGAGGATGAAGGAAACCCACCAAATGTCATTCAGTTTTCTAAAATAAATCTTGAGGACCGCTTTATGTCAGTAATCTACCAGCCTGTCTCATGGGAGCTGTAAAAACATCATGTTGGTGTATTTGTAGGATCTTTAATGAAAGGTTCTGCTCTGCCAAAAAAAGCCTATCCCAAAGAGATATCATTATTCTTTAAACTGAGGTGAATAATTTTTATTATTTCATTTACCTTTTTAAATTAATTTTATTGGTACATTTTAGATATACAATATAATGACATTCATCATTGGAAATTTGCACCTTTACATAATCTATCTTCTTATTTTTCATTTAACTTCTACTAAAATGATGCCTTTTTTAAAACTCAGGAAATAGTTTGTGATGACTTCAGGACATTGAATGGACTGACAAAGCAACCCCAGTTTATGGCATACTAACAGGCCAGTCTCTTGGCCTAATAACCTACTTCTTCCTTGGAAGGTGGGGGCATCTGTGGCAGGACAGCAAATCCCTTTTTAAAAAATTAGTAGCTGTGGGCCAGCAGATACTTAATTGAACATGTTATGAGGGACAAAGTACTGCAATATGAAATTTTAAGTTAATAAGCCATGCAGTCCAATCCCCAGCCAATGCTTGCATCTTCTCCACATCCTCTTTGCCAAATTCTTTTCTATGCTCTGCTTGATAGAGGCTATTCTTTGAGATGATCCTTTTCATGAGAACCTTTTTGAGAAGGTTCTTTCTGATATGAAGCCTAAGCTTGTTGCTCTATGTCATCTATTCAGTGAGCCTCATTCCACCTCTTTGAGCTACACAGCATCTTCCTGTAATGTACTTGTTGTATTCCCTTGTCCCAGATTAAGTCTCACAAAATCTTTCCTGTATTTTTCAAATATCTTTAAATTGCTATTATGCCTCAATTTGTTTTTAATTTCAATGTATAGCCCAGGAATGAGTGTAACATTCCAACCCCAGGGGGCTTATGAAAGGAGATGAAGTGCCATCTCCCTTAACATTACTATATTAGTGGTCTGAAGGAATAATTGAGTACAAAGAAATTAACAGTGTATATAATACAAGGGAAGACAGCTTTCCTTTCTAACACAAACAGGCTCACATCAGAAATGAAATCCAAAAAGAAAGAACATACATCTTCCTTTATTCCTAAATGACTATTTAACTATACTGCATAAGTGGAATATATGTTGTCAAAAGGGCAAGTTGTAAATGTTCATTGCTTCTGATTAGCTAAATCTCATTAGTATTATTTTATCAAAACACACTTGTCAGGACCATGAGAAAAGTAAGCAAACAACTTCATTTAAACAACAGTACCAAAAATTTTTTTGGAAAAAAGAAATGACTAACCCTAAGAGCTCTTCCAGATGAGGAAGTAATCCATAAGCATTTATCACCATAAAGTACAGAATTCTATAGGATTAAGAAATATCTACCTTTAAGGCCATTGGCCTGATGATTATGACATCTCATTCTGGTTTAGTTTTTAAAATTGTTTCACTTTAATCAGAAGAACAGTTCAAAATAGTTTACATCTGATATTTATTCAGAATGAGTTATTAACTAAAATTTGATGCTAGGCCTGGAGGCATTATGGGATTATTTAAAGGGTAGGTGAAGTAAATCATTGACCTTACACTATGGAGTCATAGGGTCCTCCCAAGACATATGTTCAACAGGAGAAGAAAGATACAGAATTCAGTCCTCTGTTGAATCTGCTCCCTTCCTTCAAGTCTAAACTCCTTAAAATAACCAAATCCAAAGACCTTATTTTGCTCAGTGGTTTCCACTTTACCAAACTAAATCCAAATTTGACACACTATCAAGTCAATCCACTTGAGTCTCATTTTTAGTTATTTTCTTACCACTTTACTCAGGGAGAGATGTTAACATAAAACAACTAGTAGAGAAAGGGGAAAGAAAGGTCACAAAAAGCCAAAGGCTTAACTTAAATAATCTACAGAAAAGAAAATTGGCTCTATATAATAAAAAAATGCTAATATAATTCAACAGATCTAATAAAAGTATAAAGGAACCTACAACCTTAAATAGGCAAAGAAGAAAGCATAAAATCCTTTGAAGGTAAATGTACAAAGCCATAATATCATTAATATCAGCAAATTACATGATTTCTCAACCCTTACTCTATAATCTGAATGTGTTTTCACTGAATCTGAACAATGTTTTGCCATATATTTAATAACTTTTTTAAAAGATCACACCCCAAATAGAGGAAGACATGGACTATAATGGTTTGTCAGATCAAGCCCAACTAAATTATGATAAAGCGACTCATTTTTCATCCACTAGAATTTGTTTTTATCTAAAGAAGGCTCATCTCCACAAATATTGCCCTGACAATAAAGAACCAAGAGGTTTAGGTCCTGGCTTTGGTTAAGATGACATCATTTAGTGTCCTTTCACAAGTACTACTTGAAGGAATTTCTATTTAATCAACAAAAGCCTTTCTTGGCACAAGATCATTTATTTAGCCTATATTGCACCTACAATATTGTTAGGGTTTGTTGTCAAGATTGAGATACGTCAATGGGCAAATGTCCATAAAGCCGAATCTGAAATTCATGTAACTAAGAAAAAAAGGAACAGGGGCTAGGGATGTAGCTCAGTGACACCATGCCTGCCTGGCAGGCGCAAGGCCCTCTGTTTGATTCCCAGCCCCCCCGCCAAAAAAAAAGAAAAAAAAGGAACAAAGCCTAACATTCTCATGAGTCCCTTCAGATGAGCCATGGGTGGGTGACTGTAAGCTACAGAATGACTAGAAAGAGTAACAGAATTAAGGGGCCAGGAGCTCTCTAACCCCTTTGTGGGTATGCCCAAAGACAGAGGGAGATAAGCCTTGGAGTGTAAGAATTCCATAGACAAGTGTGGCCTTGAAGCTATTATTATGGAACTAATTAATTCAATCTAACAAAGCCCTCTTCTCTTAAATTCACAAAGCAACTTTGTTTTTAACATACTTGCTGCTGTGAAACAAACGGGTCATCCTGTGGTGAGCACACTGGATTTTTGCCCTAAAGAAAGGTAATAAATCTAAATTTCAGGACATTTCCTGTCTAAAAAATTTCCTCAGTTCTTTCTGCTCACTTGATTAAATTATTTTCTGATACCTTTAGCTGTTGGCTTAGTGGAAAAGATGGGGAAGGAAAAGCAATAATAATTATAAATTATTTTTCACTTTTATTAAGATGATTTTTCTTTCCTATAGAGATTCTAAAAGAGATAATTCAAACTTCTGGGATCTCTTTCCTCTTTCCCATACAACCAGGAAAAACACAGTGAGGCCAATTAGATGTATCAGTCCCTAAACAATATATATAATCCCCTGTGTAAGAGGTTGGTCATTCTGAAATCTGCTAGAGAAAAGTTAGAAATGTTTTATCAGTACTGTGAACTGTATAACTCATTACTTTACAATTAAATAGCTTTCAGATACCAATGTGTCAGGTCCAATACTGTCACCATCTACAGCAACAGCAGAATTACATATCACATCCAAACTCTACTACTCACCCCCCACTTATGCTAAGCAGCAGGCTACAGAAACATCTGACAGCATCAACGGCATACAGGTTTAATTGTTTTCCCAATTTGGATTTATATCAGTGAACAAATTGGAAGAATTCAAAGTATGGCACTGAAGAAACAGGAACACATATTCAACAAAATATCTTCCACTTTGATCCTGTTTTAAAATTGGCTAAGAAAAGGCATATATACCTCCATTTGAATTGGAGATTTGCAGTAATGCATGCGAATCAAGATGGGAGGGAAGCAGGAGGGCAGGGAAAAAGAAAAGAAGGACCAAAAGGAGAGACCAGGAAAGAGAGGAAAAGAGAAAGAAGCAGGAAACCATGTATGGTCATGAGTCTGAGAGTAACATTATAAAGAGATGATAAATGACAGCTCAACCTGCTTCTACAAGCAGAATTTTTCTAAGGTTATTGAAGATACAAAAATTATTTGTGAGACTTTTCATCTGCTGCTATTCTCACTTATCATACTAAAAATACCTATAAAATCCTAAGACTTGGTTTACCCAAGAAGGCTAGTACCAGGAAGTAAAAGATGTGACCTGTTATCAAGGACTGTGCTCTGCTTGGAACCCTGCTTTGCAGTCCATTAATCCACAGTATTTGGTCATATCTGGTCTGTTTTGCCATACTACTCCTTAGAACTAATCTTTTATTTTAGAATGCCAACCATTTGTATTTTTTTCATTTTTCAAACTTTTGTTTACTTAAAGGTCAGGAAAGATGAGAGAATAGAAGAAAATTTAAAGAAGAGATTTAAAGGGGAACATGAAAGAAAAAGTATTGTCTTTTCCAACAAATCTATCCTAGAAAAGGTAGTAATGAGACTTTGAAAAAGAGTTCTGATTCATGGACTTCCTTATTTTTTTATTTCTAGGTAATACATTTAAGGACATTTGTTATACTAAAATGTTTGGTCTGTGAAATAGTGGAATCATTAGCACCAAAAGGAGTCATGGAGCTTATACATATTATTAAAACAATGATTGTTACTGTTGGTCACGGGTAAAGGTTTCATTTCAGTTTTACATCCCAAAGTTTTTGAAAGTGCCTGTGGACAAAAGAAGTAACACTTTTCAAAATCTCCATGGGGTCATCAATATGCACCATAGAGACAGTACTTGCCTTCCCAGTTTTGGTTTATCTGGTAGACAAGAACACCAGGGCCACTAGAAGATTACCACTGAAGCCCTTGAACAACAGCCCCACATGCACCCACTAACGTGCAGGAGGGATCCCTACAGTACATTTCCCCCTGGGCTGTGTCAGGAATGCGCTTTTACTTGCTTATTAAAAAAACAAAAGCAACATGCTCTGCAGATCATGGAGTGCCTAGTGCAATTTTCTCCTTGCTCCAACTCCAGACTGCAAAAGGGTAAAACCATTATGTGTTCTGCTAATGCTGGCCTGTGGACAAGGCCCTTAGCCTGCCACGCTTTGTAAGCTCAGGAGCCCACAGGAGTCAGAAGGTCCGAGAGCCGGAGCCACAGTCATCGCCAGATCTCTCCAGCAACTTGTGGCCTATCAGGGCAGCTGCTGATTCCTTTTGCTTTTCCTCACTTCAGCCTTTAGTTGAAATTACAACAAGTCAAATAGCTGATGCTTTTCCCCTCTCCAGGTAAAGGTGAGGATACATTGTTCACCAGTGTGTTCTGTCTGGCCTCACTGATGAGTCGGCATGCTAAGTCAAGGAAGAGTTTCTCCACATTATCAGATTCTTTGGCTGAGGTCTCTAGATAATACATGTCCTGAGCTTCTGAGAATTCTTCAGCTCTCTGCTGGGAGACCTCTCTCCTTTCAGCCAGGTCAATCTTGTTGCCTGTAAGAGTGGTAAAAGCAAGAAACTCATTACTTGACCTTTTTCAGGATCAAAAAGCATCAAAATTCAATTCTAGATCTGAAATCAAACCAGATAGATGGGTGAATAAAGCAAAGCAAATAACTATAATTATTGAAGTGATTATTTTAAAATATCAGTGTGCCATTTATAATGGCAAAGAACTGGAAACAACCCAAATGCCCACTAATAGGGACTAGCTGATTGAACCATCAAACATCCACACAGTGAAGTATCTGCCCCTGGAAAAAGCAATAAAGAGTATTTTTACATACAGACATGAAATGAGAACACGGATAATATTGTTAAGCAGAAAAAAATAAATGTAATTTACAACTAAGAATACACACACATACATTTATTTGCTGCTTCTTTTCTTGGGGAAAAATAAACCAAAATCTTAATTTAAAAGATAATGATGACCTACAAAAGAATCAGCATTGAGGGGATAAAAGTAGAAACCAGAACCCTTCAATATACTTTCTTCTATATGTTTTACTTCAGACACTTATAGAATTTTATATAATTTACAATAATTATACAATTAATACAAAATTAATCTTTAAAAAGCAATTCTTGAAAATTGAAACCAAAATTAAATATGTTTATCATGTAGTGGAATAAGCGCAGAAGTATTTCACATAAATTTAGATGTGGTAATTTGCCATGTATCCTTAAAGATATACATTAAGGACAAAAAAGAACTGAAGGAAAATGTCGTGAACTCTTTCATTGTTTTGGTGGTAGAGTGTTGGTATAGTTATTATGAAGCTATTATATGTGTACAAATATTACAAGATAAAGCAAATGAGTAATTATGGTGGTGTGCTGGGAACTAGGATTTTTGGCATGACAAAGAAGAAATACAGAAATATGATTAATGAAGTAAAATTTCTACAGTCCTGAATTATAAATGGAAGAATCAGTATGAATAATTCAGGGTATATTTTATCTTTAAAATGTTTTCTATCTCTACTCTCCAGGATACCTTACAAAGGTGATATGTCAACTGTGTTACCTGGCAACACTGCTTAAATGACCTGACTGCTAAATTACTCTGGCCTGAGAGTTCTATGTATGAATTATAAATGCCTAATGGAACTCCACAACTTTAGGCTTCCCTGAGTATGCAGATTCTTCACTTAAAGAAATCCTGAAAGTTTCGCCTATGGAGCTGTTATAAGAGATGATGGCTCCTGGAGAGCACTGAGGCTTCCTGTCCGGGGCAGATCCTGCACTTACCTAAGTGATACCTAATTTGTTCAGGAAAAGAGAGGGTCCTGGGAAGCTACATGGACTACCATGAGCTACAAGGACTTGCAGTGAAGAGGGTGCTAAGGCCGGGAATTTAGTTCAGTGGTACTGCCCCTGCCTCACAAGTGCAATTTCCTGAGTTCAATCCCTGGTACCAAAAAAAAAAAAGGGGGGGGGGTGGCCTGGTTCATTCTGACCTGTTATTAAGCCAGATTTGTTGTCCTGTACCTTCTAAGTGAACGTGATCCCAAATATAGCTGTGGTAGTCTTGTGAGTCAGGACACTTAGTAGAACCTAATAAATCAAACTTCTTGTGGATGCTATATTTTTACCATATACACATATATATACCAGTTCTCTCCTCTGAAAAGCCTAATAAGAATGACCAATTGACCAGTCAGGGTAGACTGAGTCCTCTAAACTTCCCATTAAAAAGAAACAGCACTTCTTTAAAAAATGGTTAATTCCAGGTCTGGGGCAGGAAATGCATGAGATATAGATGGAATTCTTGTCATTCCGCAAAGCAAGAAAATTATCAGCTATTCAATAGATCATGTAAAAAGGACTCAGGAGCCCATTTGAAGAAGCTTGTACTATGAAAGTTGGAACTGATGCATCAATATTAATAACTGCTAAGGATTAGAATACACTGAATATCTAGGTCTATAAGTTCATATTACATTAAAATATAAACAAATTCCTATAGTTACTTTTAGAAGATCCTAATGAATCAACTCATCACCTTGAAAAGTGATAAAAAATAATCAAGCATTCTTCTTACTTGTGCTATGAGAATTGTACCTGAAATACCATATGTGGAGTATTTTTGCTAAAAACAAAAACCCTGAATTTCATCAGCTATCTAAATTTATCTAAAAATCTGCAAAAAATAACAGGTAATAAAAGGATATGTCAAATGACACCACAAGGGTACAATATCAGAGTTTAGACTTGTAAATTCTATGGGACAAACAAATGCTTTAACAAATTTCAAGAAAGAAAATACAGAGGGGGAATATGCATAAAGATGAAAGGAGAATTGACAGTTGTAACTATGAAGTACCACATGAATTTTGAACCTTGTTTTGAAACTTTAAAAAATTATGACTCGATCAGGAAATCTGAATTTTTGAGGCTGCTAAGGAATTGTTAATACTTTTTAGGTGTGAAAATGGCATCGTGGTTAGATTTTCTTTTTTTTTTTAAGTTTATATTTTAGAGATACATGAAACTTCCTTCAATATAATCTGGGTGAGAAAGATGAACTGAATAGATGGAGAACAGATAAAAATATGACTGCCCATGAGTTATTTGATAATTGTTGAAGCTGAGAGACAGGTACATGGGGGCTGAGGATGTAGCTTGCAAAGCATGCAAGAGGTTCATTACTACAAAAGAGAGACAGTGAGAGATCTGTACCTGGGGACTCTACTTATGTTTGAAATTCTCTATACTAAAAGATTTTTTATACAGTCAATGCATATTTCATATTGAACTAATTATCTCCCCTCAAATCTTCATTTAACTTTCTTAGATAAAATCCCAAGTAGTCATGCTTTGGCCCAATTTCTCAGGGGCTTTCTGTGAAACATAACGAAAGCATAAGTCTAGAGTTGAGGGCTTTGAAATGCTTCAATGTCAAAGGTTCACCACTGAACACAAGGGTGCTTTAGACTGGGCATGGTGCACTAGCTTATAAAGAGGCAGATACCCAACCTGAAGGAAAGTAATAATTCGTTATAAAGTAGCATGTTACAACTGGACAAGTAGAGGACATGAGGAGTTACACACTGTATGACCTGGGACAAAGAATTTCACATCTCTAAGCCTTGGGTTTCTCACCTGTAAATCAGGGATCATGATATATAAAGTTCTTAGTATGTCTACTGACACATAAATACAAGTTACAATGCTTACTGTAAAATGTTCATTTCACTTAGTGTCAGCCATAATTTGTAACTTAATGTTTCTAAGGTTCTCTACTCATACTTCCAAAATTCAAGTCTTATTAGACTACGTAGCAAATTCCTAGGAGGAAAACATTTTAACAATTATATAGTTTTACAACACTTTTCAATCACAACTAGAGAAGGTTTTATTGATCTGGTTTACTGCAACTGCAGCTTTTTTTTTTTGGTACCGGGGATTGAACTCGGGACCTTGTGCTTGCCAGGCAGGCACCGGAACCACTGAGCTAAATCCCTGGCCCGCAATTGCACTTTTAATGGGTGTATTTGTCACCATAGAAAATCCAGGATTATTTTCTACCCCTTCCCCAAAGTAAACAGGTTGTATCCTCCTACAAGATGCAACAAACAGCAGCATTTCCCTGAGTAGATTCTTTCTGAAGCACATAATTTCTAAAATCAACATAAATGTAAGCAGGGGAAAAAGTGAACCAAAGTCTGTTTTTTTAGGTAATAAACTATTGCTTCAATAATAAATTCATTATCAACTTAAAAGATACATTTTACTTTTACACTAGCAGTTTTTATTATCATATAACTAGATGTTTTAAAATATATAGTAATTCAGGGGCTGGGGATTTAGCTCAGTGGTTTCACTGCCTGCTGCGTAAGTGCAAGGACCTGAGTTCGAGCCCCGATACCAAAAATATATATATATATATATATATATATATATATACATATATAGTAACTCATATAACTTTCATGACCATGCAACTTCTCCCTTAGTGCCTATGTTTATAGAAAATACAATCAGCAATGTTTTCTACTTCATTCATCTAAACCATCACCATGAAACAGAACCTATTTCATATTCTCTTCAATTACAAAAGAACTGAATGTTGACTATATGATATTTTTAGTTAGAGACTATATTCTTGGAAAGTACGAAGGCACAGGCATTATGTAATTATTAATTTTCTGATGCCCACAAATCAATTTCCTTCCTCATTAGTCCTTACATACCTACTAACACAGTGATGACCTTGTTGCTAGCATATTGTTCTATCTCCCGCAGCCACTCAGGAAGGCAACGGAAGGATTCCTCACAGGTAATGTCATAGGTAAGGATCAGGGCATTGGCGCTTCGGTAATAGCTCTGGGTAATGGACCGAAATCTCTCTTGACCTGCAGTGTCCCAGATCTGGAGCTGCAAAGGCATCAGAGAAGGATCAGGTTGGAAAAGCATAAAATAAAAGAGCATTGCCTTGCTTTAGCTTTTACATAGAACTACTTTCACCCAAATAATTTTATGGTTATTTTCTGTGCTAAATAAAGCACTTACAATGTGTTATTATTAAGTGTTTCTGGTTAGGAAAAAAGGCATATTTTTTAGGGGTTTTTTTTCTTTGCTATTTAAAAGTTCCCTCATTTCTAAAGCAAATAAAACTTATCGAGCATTTATTATGTCCCAAGCTCCACTTTAAGCACTTTATATGCTGTAATTCAATCCCCATGATAATACTATGACATAGGTACTATTACAATACCCATTTCTCATATGAGGAAAACAAAGCACAGAGAGATTAATTAACTGGCTCAGTGTCCAGCAGACAATTGACCCAGGTACTGTGGTCCCCAGTACTGGGCTCTTAACTGTAAGACTGTATTATAAAGTTGTCATACAGAGCAGGTTGTCAGTCTGTGGCCACTGGTATTTTAGTCAACAATCAAAGAGGGAGAAAATCCAATCTCACCAACCTTTCCAGTTCAAAATTCTAACAAACATAACAAGGTATTATCTCTGTTAATGAAAATAGGACAATGCCATGGCAGACAAAAAATAATTTCCTTCCAACATTCTTGAGCTCCATGACTTTGAGCATGTAACTTGATCTCTTTGAACTTCAGTTGTTTGTGTAAAAGGGGGGTTAATAATATGCAGCCTGCTGAAAGTTCACTTTTCTAAAGTCATCTGCTAGTTCTAAAACATAGTAACTGATGGTATTAATAACAAAGAGGGAAAATTACTTCTCACATCCAATTTCTCTGCTTATAACTGAAAGAACTGTACTCCAGAGAGACCTTTGGGTATAGAGAAAATCACACAGGGCCTTGAGATGTAAAATCAGCAACAATAATTTCCCTTTTAACTGTACAGATTTCACATGTTACACATTTACCAGTTTAGAAACAGCACCATTTCCTCAGGGGAGATCTTTCAGAAACTTCAAAATTGTCCAGGTTTCCCACCTTCCTACCCACACTCTCCTTTGCAACACATCATGTCATTCTCCCTGGTGGCACCTAACACATTTGAATTATCTATTTGTAATAATTCGTTTATATAGCTATCTTCCCCAACTGATTCAAAGCCTCACAATGGGAGTGGGAGGGGAAGTCTCCCTACTCACCTAATACAGTTCCTAGCAAAGAAAAGTTGTTCAAATATTTACTGACAATATTTTAATCTTTGCAACTGATTAAGTCAGGAAAGTTTAATGGAAACTGTCTCCTAACCAGTTACCCATAAAGCTGGGAATCAACATTAGGTCTTCCATTCCCAGTTGAGGATTCACCCTTGTTGCCTCTGTACTACGCTAATTTAAATATATATATGTATCCAGAGGATGAGTCAATTAGTGTTACCCTCTGGTCAGACTAGTTTAGCTGAAGAGAATGATAAGTGAACATTAGTCTCTGCCAGGAATCAGCAATCACACAGACTCCCCCCTTCAGTTTCAAGTTGCATCTACTCTTTGATGACATACATGAAAATCTATATGCTAAAGGCCAATGGTTTTTGCTCAGACAAAAGCTATTTGCCTTCATTGTCTCAAACTAAATAAAATCTCTTCTGCCCAGCAGACAATTGTTTTAAAGCCCACTGACCCTCTAAAACACTTGTGATTGGATTTAGACATTGTCAATCATTAGGAATTTGTATGCTTTCATTAATGACACATCTTGGGAACTGCTTTGAGCATTAAATATGTTCTAGAAGAGTGATTGTGTGGCCTTGCCAAGATACCTGCTACTGTCTCATAGGGGGCTATTTCTAGCCTGACAGCTGATTATTAAGCTCCACGGTCTTTACCACCCAACTTGGTCTCACCATTCTCTGTAATCTGTATTCATAGGACATTAACATATCCAGGGGAGGGCCAGGGATTTAGCTCAGTGGTGCCACCGCCTGCCTCGCAAGCACAAGGTCCCAACTTTGATTCCCAGTACAAAAGAAAAAAAAAATATGCAGGAAACTATGCTAGGTGCAGGGAGAGCACAAGAAAAATAAAACACAGTCCCTGATCTCAAAGAGCTCTCAGTTTACAAAGAAGCCAAATCCAGTTAATTAACTACAGTACAATATGAGATGTCCTATTAAAGAGGCACCAGAAGGACAGTGTCTCCTAATGTGAGTCTCATGCTCATCGATATATTTTCAGTATTTTCTTTTCTTGTTTGGTACTGGGAATCAAACTCGAGATCTTGTGCTTGCAAGGCAGGCAGTGGCACCACTCAGCTAAATCCCCAGCCCTACCTATTTTCAGTATTTTCAATACTGCAGTCATAGATTTTCTAACCACTCTCATCCCCATGTAGTAGCATGGGCTATTACACTGACCATCTGATCTCTTCCTGACACCACTACTTAACCTGTATTGCTTCACTGTGATAATAATGTACTGTTGCTATTAATTTACTAGTCTTTCCTTTTACTAGACTGATTACTTTGAGGGCCAAGGCTGTCTTTTGTTTGACCTCATAGCCCAGTGCCTTCCTTGCCCGGTACTAAATGAGCAAAGGATTGTAGAATCACAAAGAAGGGATTAATTATCCCTAAAATATTAGTGTGGTATAAAAGCTTTCACAGGTAAAATGTTATTAGAGTTAACAGTAAGTTCCTAGGGAGCAAAGATGCTTTACCTACCGCAGTGCTTGGTATAAAGTATCTACTGTAACAGGACAGATGGACAGATGGTTGAAGAAATGATCATTTGCACCCACTTTTATGAGTATCCTGTCTGTGACAACACTGGTCT